AGCCAGTGTCGTCTATGTACAGGTCCACATGGCATTTTGGAGAACCGTACCAGATCGGTGACACAACATCGTGCATGACAAGTTTGGATAAACCCGGAGCCAGCGGGCAACCAGCAATTATGCCTTTCGTGGCAACGATGGGTGCACTGACCATGTTTTCAGCGCAGACATGCCGCTTGCCACGATACACCTGCATTGCGCCATGCAAGAGCAGCGGCGGGTACTGGTGCCTGAAAGCCGCCTCCACCAACGCCGTGTGAGAGACGTTTTCGTAGAAGCCCTTCAGGTCTAGCAACAAGGTTATGCCAGTTTTGCCACTCTGTCTGTGCATCTCCCCTTTCAGCACGCGTGTGACGGCAACTTCGAGTGACGAGAGGCCCTTGATCGCCCTGTCCCAAGGCGCAGCTGCCTTGTATTGCTTTGCCCATTCATCATAAAGATGGTACCTGGTTTTGCACCAGGCTCGGTATGCGTAGGACGTCAAGCCGATTGGTCGTTCCTCGGTTTCTTTTTTGGCCAGAAGGGTGACCAAGGTCATGGTGACCGTATCCGGCATGTAACCCGTGGATTCCCATTCTCTAAAGGCCTGCGCCACCAGGGCAACCTGGTCAGGTCTGAGTTCACGGAACATCTGTGCAGAGAGTCCGTCCGGCCCAACGGCTTTTTTGGTCATTTTACCCAGGACTTTGGCCACAACTTCATCCCGCAGAGGGCCCAATTGCTCAAGTTGGAGCCTCGCACCAGCCGCGAGTTGGTCAAACAGCGGGTCCTGTTGTGTCTGGTTGTCTGGCATTGGTTGCCAGACTGCTTTCCATTCTTGCCTGCGCAGGTGCGGCCGTAGTTCCCCACTGTGCTCGCGGTACGGCCGTGCCTGCACATTCTCAGGCGATCTCAGGGCTTTGTAAAGGCCTCGCATGCCTCCTGCGCAAGCTCCTTCAAGCCATTTTTGATACTGTGCTCGTCGCTGTTTTTGCCAATCCTGGGCTTCCGCCTTGGCTTTTTTAAGCACCGTCTGGACGGTTTCTACGTCAACACTGTGGCCGATCATGTACGCTTCCAACTTCGCCTGGATGTCACCAGGGCTTTCTGGGCTCTCAGGGTCCCAGAATNNAGCGGTCTTTCTTGTTTTTGGAGTACCCACAGCTGCATTCGTTCCCAGTACGCAACCTTTCCTCCACTCCACTGTTTTTGAGGGGACGTTGGCTGCACCAGCGGTTTCCTCACGACTGGGAAACACCAGCTTCTTCCTTGTTGGTCCATGCTCAGCTGGGTTTCCAGCTTGTGGATACAGCTTCCCCATCTCACGTCAGGTGGGTGAGTACGGGGGTTTTCGAAGAGCGCAGTGATTTGTGTGACCTCCTGGGCTTCCTGGTCTTCCTGGTAGTCACCAGGTTCAGGTGTGAATCGCGGCGCCTGTGGCACAGGCAGGTTTATTCCGCCTTTGTGCACCGTGTACTTCACCGCCGCGTGAGGTTTAAAAGGAACCTCCCAGTCGACCTCGACATGTATGCAGCTGGCAATGGCTGCTGAAGCCAGCGCAAAGTCGATCACTGTGCCCTGCGTTGTGGTTTCTTCTGCTGGTTGCACCAGCTTTCCTTTTATCATGGTGAGGACTCCTGCAGANNACCAGTTCTTCAGGTGTGCAGTTCCAGTCCCCCACCAGCAACCAAGGAATACGAAGCTCCTGCACAAAAACGGCTAGTTCCGCTAGGAGTTGCGGGTTGACTCCTCCTCCAGGGCCTTTCCCTGATTCGAGGTAGACATTGCCTACGGCAAGGTCCCAACCATGGAACCTAATCCCGACAAAGACAAAGCCTTTGCCTTGGACCCCCGAAGTGTGCAGGTGTCTGGTCTGCAGGTGGCTGCGCGACACCGTAACAACCCCTCCCGAGTTTCCTCCTTCGGTGGCCTCCGCAGGGTGGGCCCAGGAGTCAAGGGAGACCGCTGCCAGTCCAGACTGTACTTCGTTCTGCTGACCTTTCTCCACGTGCGTTTCCTGGAGGCATGCCATCTGAAACTGGTTGGTCACCAGCCACTGTTTGACCTCTGACCTATAATGAGTGACATTCGCCTGCAGGATGGTGCACACCCCTCNNGTTGGGGGAGCGCCCCGCCTGCATCTTAAGATCCTCAATGCAGGCCAGAATACCGATGGTGTCCTCTTCTTCAGCCTCCAGGCATTCCGCGATGCGGTTGGCGAGCCAACAGCCAAGCGTATCAGGCTCAAGGCCTGCTTCAAATTCCTCAATCCAGTCGAGTATTTGAGCAGACTTGGCCTGCATACAGTGCACCGGCGCTTGGACAAAAATGTCCGAAAGTCGACACCAGTCCTTCCTGGTCGGTTTTTTTGGCACAGGCCTGTCCGCATCTGACTTCGTAGCCTGCGAGCTGCCCTGGCCTTCCTCACCAGTGCTGCTGGTTGCTACACCAGCATCTTCTTGCCGTGTGGGGCTGTCTGTTGTCTCGTCCTGAGGCGTCAAGACCTCTTGTGCGAAATCTACATTAAAATAGGTCGGCCCAGAGATGGCCGCCTCTCCCAGCTGCGGCCAAGCATGGCCGACTGGGGTCAAAACTTCCCCTTGAAGGGCTGGGGTATTCTTTTGATTCCAAACCCACTCAGCACAAGCGCTGCAGCACCAACCTGACGGTTTCTGCCGAAGGTGGTACGCAGAGGCAGCATAGCGGGCAAGGATGGGGGACATGACCGG